ATAGTCTGAAGCAAGCAGACTCTATTCAAAGAAGGGATCCACGCTTTTTATATGATTCTGCTACATCGATGTTATATCGACGGTCTTTTGATGGTATTGCTGCTCTGATGCTTATCACCAAGTGAAGTTCGAGAAGCATTAAAGCAAGCCCACGACGGTGCATGGAACTCATCAATCCGGTCCTAAACTTTAGGACCAACTTCGTCATCTAGGTTATTACTACCCGACAATGATAGCAGATGTGGTAGCATTGCTAAATGATGTCATGCGTGTTAAGTCCATACCGATTTCCTACATCAATCTCTAGAGGAGTTACATCCGATCGTTACCTCATGGCCATTTGAAGTATGGAGCATGGACATCATCGGGCTGATCAGTCCGCCGTTCGCTAAAGGCGATCGATTCGTCCTGACTATTACAGATTACTTCTCCAAATAGACCAAAGATGTTCCCCTCAAAGAAGTCAAGACATCTCAAGTGATCAAATTCTTGAGATGCCACGTGATCTACCGATTTGGTGTTCCTAGATGAATCATTCACGATAACGATCCCTAATTCATTAGTCGACCGTTCTCAAATTCTACAAGTTTAGAATTCAATATGTGGCTTCCACAACTTACAACCCAACTACTAATAGTCTAGCTGAAGCTTTTAACAAAACCATCATTAAATTTCTGAAGAAGCTAGTCTCTTTCAACAAATGAGATTGGGACAAGAAACTCGAAGAGTGTTTATGGGCATATCGAACAATGGTTCGTACTCCCATTGGCTTGACGCCATTTTCCTTGGTCTACGGATGTGAAGGCTTAATCCCTTCAGAGATTCAAGTACCATCATTGAGAATCGTCATTGCTAAGAAGATGATAGTTGAATAACATTATCAAAAGCGCCTCCAAGAACTAGAAGCGCTACATGAACTGAGACTTCAAACTCAACAAAGAATCGAGATTTACCAATCATGGATTTCGAGAGCCTTCCAACAGGAGAATTAAAGAAAGATCCTTTAAAGAAGGCGACCTGATCTTAACTTTATCGATCCATGGTCATGACGCATAAGACTAAAGGCAAATTCTAACCCAAATGGAAAGGTCCGTTTATAGTAGAGATAGTCTACTCAAATGGAATATATCGTCTAATTGACTAAAATGATAATAGGCTTATGACGCTAATCAACGGGAAGTTTCTCAAAAAATATTGCTCTTAATTCTGGTCAATATCATCTCCCAAAAAAATCTTGGTCACATTTAAGTTTCCACCTCTGACCAGAGATGTTGATCTTCTTGATTCAAAATCTAATCAAAATCCCTAATAAATCATCAAATTAACATCACACCTCTGCTTGACTCCAAAAACATTATGACTGTCATATTAACATTACACTTCTAAACAGTATCAATTCAATCAAACCGTCATGTTAACATTACACCTTTGAACGGTTTCTCACGATCTGAATGGTTAACATTACACCTCTGTCAGACCATTTCGTTGACTGGTTAACATTACACCTCTGTTGGCCTATCGTAGCAAATTTGACTGGTTAACACTACAACTCAGTCAATACGCTCTTATCAAAAATCAATCCGTTAACATTATACTTCCATCGATTTCCAACCATTAAGTTAACAATATACTTCCAAACAATAGTCGTCCTTTGGACTCTTTCAAACCGACCGATTAACACTACACCTCTGTTGGTCACTCCCTTTAGCACACTTCTGTCAAAATTCCTTAGTATTGTTATATTAACACTACACTTTTGAACGGTAGTAATTTTGCAAACCCGATATGTTAACATTACACCTTTATCAGTTTGATTCTGTCGATCGGTTAACATTACACCTCTGTCGACTTTCCTTATTGTTATGTTAACACTACACATCTAAACAGTCCCTTGGACTTACACCTCTAGCAGTCCCTTTTCGAATTGATATGTTAACATTACACCTCTGTGGTTAAACTATTTCTTAACCTCCAATGGAATTATAAGTTTAAATTTTTTCCTAACCGTCGATGGAATTATGAGATTAAATTATTTCCTGACTTCTGATTGGTATGCGAGGTTAAATTATTTCCTATATCTTGATGAGTATACAAGTATAAACTGCTTCTCTATGCTCCAACAGATACATGAGTATAAACTGTTTCCTACACTCTTAACTACACAAGAGCCTAAACTGTGGACACTATGGATCTCCCTAGCTTGGTCGAGATGATGGAATACTCCAGCTACGTACGAGTATAAACTATGGTTAAACTTCCGGCTACACTAGCAGTTACGCCAACATTCGACTACACTAGCAGTTACGCCAACATTCGACTACACTCCAGTAGTTAAGCCAACATCCAGCTACACTCTAACAGTTACGCCAATATCCAGTTATGCTCCATCAGCTATGTAGGCATTCAGATACGCTCTTGCAGCTTTTCTCCAAATATGGGTTCCAAACACAGAATTGAATGGAATCTCAACAATAAGCACTTCAAAATACAACCTAGCATTCTACCAAGATGAGTCAAACAACGAAAAACCATGTTGAACAGTACACCTATGGCAGCCAAATAGTCAAATGTAAATATTTTAGCCTAAAAAAGATGACTAAAACTACGTTCAACAATATATCTCTGGCGATTACCCAAAGTATTTTGTTCCCTATAACAAGTCTGAATATAGGATCACGAAAACTTTTTTTTTTTTGGGGGGGGGGAGTCTTGTAGATGGTTAAAATATACTCTATTGGACTAATGTTGAGTTTGTGTCCAAGAAGTAAACACCAATGGGCTAAACACTTAAGATGGGCTCAAGGATAGTGTTCACTTGGATCATATGTGAACATGACTACATTCGAGCCAAAGAGGACATGAGTCCGAGTCAATCCTCAAGAAGGACTCAAGGTAGCGTCCTCAAGTCGGCGGAGTCAATAAACGAGCTCAAGTTGGGTTTCGAGTCAAATCTAAACTTATCAGCGAAGCTCGCCCAAGCTATAGCAAAGCTCGCCCAAGTCATATTGAAGCTCGCTTTCAAGATCAAGTCAAATTGAAGCTTCTAGCCAAACTCGCCCAAAACGAGCTTTGCCCAAATAGTCTACATGGACACATAACGAAGTTCATTGAAGACAGCAAAGTTCGTTGAATCCAAAGCCGCAAAGAGCCTCGCCAAACAGCCCATATCGACTTGACTCGATCAAATCAAAAGTGAGTTGACTCCCAAAACACTTCTCACAAGGAGTCGTCTCTTCTCTCCCGGCCGAATCGAGAACTTTTTAGGCAGACTAAAAAGACGGTACTTTTCGTCCTTCTCATAAAGAGTCGTCCCTTCTTGGCTATAGGCCGAATCGTCCATTCTTGCTAGGTCAAGTCATCTCTTCTCACCGGGCCGAGCCGGAAGGTGTCATCAGTCGGCCAAATCTAGAGTCGAATTCTGTGTTAAATTCAAACTCATGGTGAAGTTCGCCAGCCAATGAACTCTGCTCATGTCAACTCAAGTGGACCAAGTCATCCACTTGCGAAGAAGACTCGCTCACGTCCACAGCGACCCTCACCTACGCCTGCAGCGACCTTCGCCCACGTCTTTAGTGAACTTTACTAAGCCCGTGAAGTTCACTAAATAGCCGTTTGAGAGCTATTTTCGGGGGAATAACTGCTCATTATTTCCTACTTTAATGACTATTTATTTCCTGCTCAATGAACTTTCTCTTTTAGTCTATAAAAAGAGGAGATCATCCATTTTACAAGTTCGGAAGCCTTAGCCAAGAATACACACGAATAAAGAGATTATAATCATACTTACGATTCTTTTTATTGAGAGAAGCTGCTAAGAGAAGGCTGAGTTATCTTCAAAGCAATCCACCTCTTATAAACAACAAAAGATTCATCGTCTTAGTCGGTGCATCAATGGAGTACAAGATTAACGCTCCATCGGCACACAGAAAAGAAATCTCCCCATGAAGTATAAAAATTTTCTTTGTTGCACTCTTATTCTTGTTGTTGTAATCCGAGTTAATTACAATATTAAAAAAGCCCAAAACAGTGTGGAGGTGAGAATACCAGAGGAGGAGATGATAGAGGTGGAGGAGATGGTGGTGGAGATGAAGAAGGCGGTGAGGATACAAATGGAGGTTGAGATGGCGATGGACGAGGAAGTGAAAATACCAACGGAGGAGAGAATGGCGGATGAGATGAAGGTGATGGGGAGGAGAGAGAGGGGGGAGGGGTAGGAGATGGCGATGGACGACGAAGTGAAAATACCAACGGAGGGGTGGAGAGAATGGTGCGAGGAGCATCGAAGCGTGCAGTGAGGCGGGGGGGAGGGGGGAGGGTAAAAAGGTAATTTCCGACTCATGATTAGTGGTAAGCCAACCATGGTTTATGGTTTTGAATGGTAAACTTAACAAAAGGACTAATATCAACACATTGACATAATGTGAGGGACTAATATTAAAATATGAAGATTTAGGAGATTAATATCAAAATACCCATGATTTAAGGGACTAGTATCTTATATCGTATATATTGATCATGGTCTGGGATTTTTATAAGTTATAGCAGCAAAGAATATTTTCCATGCAATAGTAAAAAAATTAGCAAGTTAATGTTTTAAATTTATTAACAGATAAATAGAAATTATATTGTACCAAAGTGGATCTACACCCCTAGCTCGAATAAAATTATTATATTTCTTTTGTAAATATGTCTCTGCTAATATTGTGCAATAGCTAAAACTATATTGTTGCCGTTTTTGTCACATGCATTCTGCTCATGCAATTCAACCAGTTAAATTGAAGGACCACCTGGGATATAGGATTGGGCCTCTACACGGCTGCTAAAACTTATGATAGATTAGGGAATTTTTAGCACCTATTTGAGTTACAACGTTTAAGATATTTTCTTATTTCACTTCATGGTAGTGAAAACTTTGACTGGATATCCTTTTTTTTTTGTTTCCTTATGATTTTAGTTTTTTCCTTTACTTGTTAAAGTCATTATTTGATTTGATCTTGCAGGCATCACAGGTCATCCTCTTCAAGCTTACATATTCATGGGACCGATTTACTATCAGAAATTGAAACATATGGTAAACTCTATCCTTGATTTTTAACTTATATCCCTGATAAATGAGTCTTTTCACTTCAATATTATGTCGGGTAATTAGTTTCATTCCTTCTGCTCTATAAGGAACATATATCTTTATTCTTTTGATTCTTCAAACAAATGTTTTGTAATCTCAAATAAATTACGTTAATGGAAGCTAGTAATGATGACAGTTAGATTTTGTCAAAGATAATGACAACCTTTTGAGTAATATTCAAATGTTATGTCACAATCTCTTGCCAATTAAACTCTTTTTAAGCAGTCTGATTTGTATGCCAGGATTATAGTGATCCCCAATACAATTTGTATCTGTCAGACTGTCTGTTTCCTCGTATCTGGTACTTTTGTTTAGATAACATTTGATATAGCTATTAAACTGTTCAGATCGTCCTTTTTTTCTGGGGCAAGTATTCAGTATAAATGTTGCTGTAGCCATCTTCCACAGGTCTATTTATAAGAGAAAAAACGAAAATTGAGTAGAAAAAAGAATTATTTATATATTCATGATATATTCATTTCATTAGATGTAGTCTCTTCTTATCTTTATGTTATAACTTTTCCTGTGATTCACAGGTTTTGGATAAGATGCATGCACGAGCTAGGGGACCTCGTGTGACTCTCACTAGACAGCCAACAGAAGGAAGAAGTCGAGATGGAGGTTGATAAAAAATATTTTTTGTTTTTGCTAAAACTTTAATCTGCTGTAACTTATATATTTGCAGTTCATTTGTGGATTATCTGTTGATAATTATTCAAATTTCAGGACTACGAGTAGGAGAAATGGAACGGGATTGTTTGATTGCATATGGAGCTAGTATGTTAATCTACGAGCGTCTAATGCTATCAAGTGACCCCTATCAAGTTCAGGTAGCAACAAGCTTTCCCCTGTTCTTTGTTTTAGTTAAAACTTCCCAGATCCAATAGCGTTTCTCTTTAAATTGTTAGGAAACATTCTAAGGTCTATTTCATCTGTTCATAGCTCAACAAACTACCAGTCTCTTAAATTGTCTAATGTTGAAGGATGAAGTGTGTTACATGAGATAATATCATAATTTTCTAAAATAAACATTTCCCCAAGCTCCTAATATAAGGAATTTGGGAAGAGAATAACAGTGGAAACAGAGAGAAGGTAGTCTGGAGATTTTAGGTTAGCTTAAGCATTGGAAGCTATAATATAAACTCCTTAAACTTGATCATTCGACAGTGAACATTACTCTTACTTGAGTCATCTTTTTTTATTTCTCTGCAGGTTTGCAGGAAATGTGGTTTGTTGGGCTACTACAATTACAAGTTGAAGACTGCCTTCTGTTCTTCATGCAGAACTGGCGAAAACGTTGCCACTATGATGCTGCCATATGCTTGCAAGCTTCTATTTCAGGTAGAAATATTCTCTTTACATGGATCTATATGTGCACAACTGCACTAAAAATAATAATAATAATAATAAAGAAAAGATTAATAACTTTCAGGTATCCTGAGGTACGGTATAGTTGCGTGGGTAACCATGTATTTTGGATATCTACGTGGGTAACCTTGAGACTAATTGTATCTACATGTTAACCTTGAGAAAGAAAACTAAACGAACTCCAAGGTCACTCGTATAATTACAATTAATAATTTCAGGATTAATCGTATAGAAACGCATAGTCTAGAGTCACTTGTGTCATTACACCAGCCATAGGGTACCCAACATATTAAATATCGAATAGCAAAATAAAAATTGGACGGCTAAAATCTATATCGGACTACGGAAATGGGGAAAATAGGGGATATGTAAAAAAAATATTGGGGTGTCATATCGGATGATGTTCATACATAACATTGTAAAATGTAATCTAAACACATTAATGTAATCTAAACTTAAGAAATTGCATCATAATATATGTTTATGGTTCGGGAAAGCTGAGAGTGGAGAGATTTGGGAGACGGATTGTGGCTTTTGTGGCTTTTATTGGTTTAGGTTTGGGCTTTTTTTTTAATTTGATTGTGGGTTTGCGTTCGGGTTCATAAACCTGACCCAAATCCCACAATCAAAATAAAAATAACCAGATTTTTCCATTATCGTCATGGTAAGGTCCTTAACCCGATATATCGGCTAATATAGCGATATATTGGCCGATATTTAATACATTGAGGTACCTGAATGTAATTAATCCAACAAAAAGACTAAGTTAACCTAGTTGTTGTGTTCCAGGAACTACAATCAATGAACGTTGTTCCCCGTCTGAGATTGGCAGAAGTATGATCAATGAGGGTGGCTAATTGCAGATTCAGGCAAGTAGCAGTAAGATGTGCCGTTTGAGATTGGCAGAAGTATGATCAATGAAGGTGGCTAATTGTAGATTCAGTCAAATATCAGTAAGAGAAGGGAGCAGTTCCAAAGCATTGGCATTGGAGACATTGGAAATCTCTTGCCTTTCGAGGATTATGAGGAAATAAACGATTGCCTGAAGCAAGAGTATCGTCATTGATCCCCCTTAAAGAAAAGAAAAGAAAAGAAAGCAAGAGCATCATTCAAATATAGTTGTTTGTAGCTATAAAATTTTGTTGTATAGGACACCATCTTTTATTTGTTCTTTTCTATCTGTGTAACGGGGTGGTGAGCAAGGATGGATGAATAATTATCAAATAGTTTGATTATTATGCGTGCAATTCGATTCTGAAGATCATCCAAGGGAAATCAAAACATAAACTAACTCTATTTTTATTCCTTTGTTTATCAAATATACATTTAAATTTTGATTACTCGTAGCTTCTGAAATTATACATGATAGCGTTTTAACTTTCCTTACATCTTTCTCATTGTTTAGTTTCGTATTAATTTTGTGAGACTTGATAGATTTCTCTAACGAATTATTCAAACTACATAATTATAAAGGATTTTTTTTTCATTTTCAGTTTGAAATTCCATTTTGACGAATTAAATTCCTTATAAAAATAGGAGAACCTCCCTACAAAAAAATGTATCTTTTTAATTAACAGTCTACTGTTCATAAACGACAAAACAAAATAGTAATCAAAAATATAGTTTGATATTCAAATGGATATTTGATTAATATAGGAAGGGTGTTCATTTTTGTATTTGGATAAAAAAAGAATTTAGAGAAGGATATTCAGAGTTGGGATCAAACCCTAACTTAAGTCAGCACCGCGCAGCAACAATTTCAGCCTAAACTGGAACCTTGGAATTACATAAATGAAACTTCATTACAATATAGTATGTGTTCTCTTCTGCAATATTGGCATTCTTGCCTTGTCTTGAATTTTGATTGTGATGGGAAGATATTGCATCTAAAAGAAAATACAACAATCCAGTTGTTTTAAAACAATGAATACTCGCATTGGACAAGAATGCTTGGCATGACTTTGATATGAATAGAAAAACTGTATTCTACAACCCTGCACCCTTAATATTAAGGGTTTTTTATTTCTAGGCCCATTTGTTTACTCAACTTTACCTATAAACCCAATCATTATTTTTTGTATTCTTAAACCCAATTTTCTTTTTGTTTTTGCCTTTAAACCCAATTTCTAAAATACAGTATATACAGCACTTGTATTTATACACAAATATGATAAAACCCCAAAATACCCCTTTTAATACCCCACTTAAACCAGTCCCCCCCTCTCTCTCCTCATTTTCCTTCTTCCTCAAATCTTCGTCTTCCTCCTTCTTCCTCAAGTCTTTGTCTTCCTCCTCCGATCCCACCTCTCATGCCCCCTCCAAGAAATCGAAGAAGAAAGGAAGAAAGGCCCATGAAACCAGTCCCCCATCTCTCTCCTCATATAAACCAGTGCCCAGTGCCCCTCTCTCTCTCCCCTCATTTCCCCCTTCTCAACTCTCTGCCCTAATTGAAAAACTGAAACCCCCCATTCTCGTGACCGTCTCCGTCACCGTTGCCGTCATCCTCCGTCGTCGCCGTGAGATGTCTCTCGCAGTCGTCGTCGCCTGTCGTCTTCGCAGTGATCAATCGCCGTCGTCGTTGCCCGTCATCGCCCGTCGTCATCGCCCGACTCAGCTCTCATCGACGACTCCGTGCTGGTGAGCACCATTGGAAATTTCATTGGATTTTTTGACTTAGTTGGAGAGAATTGGTTTTGTACCATACGTAAGGTGCTTTAGATTTTTAGTTAAAGCAATCTCCCTGTACGAAGATGATTACAAGTCGATTCCAAGAATAAAATACCATTTCATTTGTAAAAGGGGAATCACTAAGTGTGAGTTGTTTCAGATGCGCACTAAAATGTATTTTTACTTTCTCCTCAGCTGGACTAGGGTGGATAACTTTCTGAGTATGATGAACCAATGACAGCGTTTACGATGAGAAATAATACAGCTTAAAATTTCTTCTTTACCTCAATGTTGAACTATGTTGTTGCATTTCTTGGTATGATGAGAATCAGGTGATTATGAGTATTTTTCTTGAAGTTTTGGACGGACAGATAGATAGCTCTATGTTTTTGCTCATCATCACCCATTTGTGCATGTGTTATATTGATAGTGCAAACATTTGAACTTGCAGTAGCTTGGATTGCGGGGTGTTCTTGATGGCATACATGTTTAGCCTCGTTTCCGGGCAACCAATGTCCATTAACCAAAAGGATTGTGCAAGACATAGAGCTCGTATCGTTGCTCTATTTCTATCTGAAGGTATATTTTTCGTTAAGTGTAATGTTCATTGAACCGCTTATATTTGCTCTATTATTCTTTTGATCCGCTTATATTTTGCTTTCAGGAAATCAATGTGATCTTCAAGACCAATTCCCTGAATGCTAGATGCCAATTGTGATATCCAATATTTGTTTTGTAAAGTATTTGTATAAATATACTTTTGGGTCGTTGTATATAGTTTGTCAATTGCATTTGAATTTGAATGGCCGTTGTAGTGTGTTTTTTGAGTCTGCACTTGAATGGCCGTTGTATATGGTTTGTCAATTACTTTTGGGTCGTTGTATATACTTTTCGGTCGTTGTATATAGTTTGCCAATTGTGATGGTCTGGTTGGTATTTTACTTGCTCTGGGTTGTATTTTAGTTCTGTTGTCCGCATGAATTAGGTGCTCTGGTTGGTATTTTAATGTTTTGTCAATTGCTTTGGTTGATGACAAGCTGAGGAGCTAAACAGGATGTTTGCCAAGACTTGGATCATCGCATTATTTGTTTTACATTAAATCATTGTAAGTGTAGCGGGTTACACTGTAAGTATAACGGGTTACATTGTAAGTGTAGCGGGTTATCATGTAAGTGTAGCGGGTTACACTGCAAGTGTAGTGAGTTATCTTGTAAGTATAGCGGGTTACACTGTAAGTGTAGCGGGTTATATTATAAGTGTAGCAGGTTATCCTCCAAGTGCAGTGGGTTACACTGTAAGTGTAGCGGGTTATACTGTAAGTGTAGCAGGTTATCCTCCAAGTGCAGTGGGTTACACTGTAAGTGTAGCGGGTTATACTGTAAGTGTAACGGGTTATCATGTAAGTGTAGCGGGTTACACTACAAGTGTAGTGAGTTATCCTGTAAGTGTAGCGGGTTACACTGTAAGTGTAGCGGGTTATACTGTAAGTGTAGCAGGTTATCCTTCAAGTGTAGTGGGTTACACTGTAAGTGTAGCGGATTATACTGTAAGTGTAACAGGTTATCCTGTAAGTGTAGCGAGTTACACTGTAAGTATAGCGGGTCAGTGTAGCGGGTTATTCTGTAAGCGTAGCGGGTTACACTGTAAGTGTAGCGGGTTACACTATAAGTATAGCGGGTTACACTGAAGTGTAGCGGGTAATCCTGTAAGTTTGCCTTGAAGATTGTATGGAACCTGTAGAAAATTTTGTTTATAAAGAGTTGGAGAGTCTGGAGCTTGCCTTGAAGATTGTGAAAGAGAAATTGCTGGGTAGAGTTAATGGAGTCAGTTATGCTATATGTACATTTTGAAGATTTGTACAATTTTGAAGATTTGTAACATTTTGTAAAGTTTGGAGCTTGCCTTGAATATAATATCAGTTATATTATGTATATTTTGAAGATTTGTAACATTTTTGAAAGCCTGGAGCTTGCCTTGAATATATGATCAGTTATGCTATGTATGTTTTGAAGATTTGTAACATTTTAAAAAGTCTGGAGCTTGCCTTGAATATATGATTAGTTATGCTAAGTATATTTTGAAGATTTGTGTAATTTTGGAGTTTGATTTATAACATATTGTTTCAGGTTGTAAGTTTTTGAAAGTAGATAATGAAATTGTTGTTAGTGCAATTTCGTTATTGTGGAATTTTGTGGAATTTTGGACTTTGTAAGACTGGAATTTTGTGTAATTTTGTGAGTACTATTTTGTGGAATTTTGTGTAATTTTATGAGTGTTATTTTGTTCTTGTGTAATTTTGTGAGTGCAACCAAGCGTGATAAACTGCAAATCTCTTTGATTGTAAGTGTAGCGTGATAAATTTAAAGTGTAACGTGATAACCTGTAAGTGTAGCGTGGTAGACTGTAAGTGTAGCGTGATAGACTGAAAGTGTAGCGTGATAGACTGTAAGTGTAGCATGATAAATTCAAAGTGTAGCGTGATAACCTAAAAGTGTAGCGTGATAGACTGAAAGTGTAGCATGATAAACTATAACCCGCTACACTTACAGTGTAACCCGCTACACTTACAGTGTAACCCTCTACACTTACAGGATAACCCGCTACACTTATAGGATAACTCGCTACACTTACAGTGTAACTCGCTACACTTACAGGATAACCCGCTACACTTACAGTGTAACCCGCTATACTTACATAATAACCCGCTACACTTACAGTGTAACCTGCTACACTTACAGGATAACCCGCTACACTTACAGTGTAACCCGCTACACTTACAGTGTAACCCGCTACACTTACAGGATAACCCGCTACACTTGCAGTGTAAACCGCTACACTTGCAGTATAACCCGCTACACTTGCAGTGTAACCCGCTGCACTTGCAGTGTAACCCGCTGCACTTGCAGTGTAACCCGCTGCACTTGCAGTGTAACCCGCTACACTTGCAGTGTACCCGTACCCCGCTACACTTGCAGTATAACCCGCTACACTTTAGTATAACCCGCTACACTTACAGTGTAACCCGCTACACTTACAGTGTAACCCGCTACACTTACAGTGTAACCCACTACACTTGGAGGATAACCCGTTATACATACAGTGTAACCCGCTACACTTACAGTGCAACCCGCTACACTTATAGTGTAACCCGCTACACTTACAGGATAACCCGCTACACTTACAGGATAACCCGCTACACTTACAGTGTAACCCGCTACACTTGGAGGATAACCCGCTACACTTACAGGATAACCCGTTATACTTACAATATAACTCGCTACACTTACAGTGTAACCCACTACACTTACAGTATAACCCGCTAAACTTATAAGATAACCCGTTACACTTACAGGATAACCCGCTACACTTGCAGTGTAACCCGCTATACTTCAGTGTGGTACCGCTACACTTACAAGATTACCCGCTATACTTACAGTGTAACCCGCTACACTTACAGTGTAACCCGCTACACTTACAGGATAACCTGCTACACTTACAGTGTAATCTGCTACACTTATAGTGTAACCCGCTATACTTACAGGATAACCCGTTACACTTACAGTATAACCCGCTACACTTACAGGATAATCCACAACACTTATAAGATAACCCACTACACTTGGAGGATAACCC